AAACGGGCCCCAGTACAATTTAAAAAAATTGGCTCCATTTATGGAGCATCAGGCCTCCACAACTGTGTGGCTTTGATATCAGCAACGAGCTGTGTACAGCAAATTATAAACTACTTACATTTTCATGGGGAAGGTTGTTACTTTTACGCCGGACGTGACAAACCCTAAAAACCCACGAGACACGCCAGCGCCAATATACAGGTGAAATTCGACGAAAATCCGACGGCGGAAGCCAGCAAAAGCATCCACACGCCTTTTTTTTTTAATAATGACCTTTATTTCCAGAAATACATATATGTACAGAAATACATATATGTACAGAAATACATATATGTACAGAAAATACATTATACGTTTTACAAAATATCTGCAATCCTGTGATGGTAGCATAATTCACCGCTGGTACAAACTAGTTACAGGTACATGGCATAAACAGTTTGACAGAGAAGTACATACACGAGCATACTAATTATAAATCATTTTTAATTAAAATCATCATTTTTATAAATCATTACAAGCATCGGAAGCATCCACGCACCTGGGCATGACTGAAAAGACGTCAGGATGCAGGTCGACGATACCAAGCTTCTCCGCCTGCACCGTGTCCATGTTCTCTAGCCAGGCCTGCGCAGGCGTCCGATAAGGATTCGGGAACTGCAGCGTGCGGCTTGTGACAAGAGGCAGCACGCGAGGAGGTCGCACAACTGGATCACCTGAATCGCAATTAGTGACAGAGGTGACGAGATCTCGCAAATATTAACGAGCTTAGTCTTATTACCATCACAAGCCTAACTCATTAGAATTATTATCATTATCATTAACATTATTATTTATTATTATTATTACTAATATTATCATCAGATTATCATTGTAACTTTGACAGTTAAGCGAATTGTAATAATTTTGTGCGTTTAAAAGTAGTGCATTACTTATTTAACATAGCAACACGCTGTGTATCACCTTGAATGACTGCAGCATCGTGTGTGTGCATATGCGTGTCCTCCATATCCTGTAGAGCACATGACGTCTTTATGTGACGCTGAAAAATTACGACCACATCCACGAATTTTTGCAAGCATAAAATTTGTCCCTGACAGCTATCTTATCTCGGAAGCCATACTTCCCGGTATACCGGAATGTACCCTGGTAAGGCCTAAAAAAATAAATGATGTGTTTTTGAGAACGGTCTTGAAAAAATTAGGTAGGGTAAGTAGGGATTTATTTATTTTTTTTTAAAAATAAAAAAATCCGAAAATGTCAAGTGTTCAGAGGTGAGGTGAGTACCATATTCTAGAAGTTTATGATTTATTTTTTGATTGATAATTTATTTTTTGAGAATTGATAATTGATTGATTTATTTTTACTTTTTATTTTTTTAATAAATTTTTATTTTTTTCTTGAAAATGGAGAAGAAAAAAAAAGGGTTGGCCCCTATTTGCTAGGTAGGGTCGGGTTCTCGGAAACACATCATTTTTTAGGCCTAACTATCTGATATGGTTAGAATTAGGGTTAGAGTTAGGGAGTAGGCGACTCCCTAGACTCGTTAGTGGAGTAGGCGAGGTCCGGTCCGGCATATTAGATAGTACCAGGGTACGTACGTTCCGGTATACCGGAATGTACCCAGGGAGACATAGACCCTGGCAGCCATAGTACAATGGGAGTAGGCGAAATTGGAATATTGCAGATTCTGAGAGTAGACGAAATGGGAGTAGGCGAAATGAGACGTAGGCGAAATATGTGTAGGCGAAATGGGACGTAGGCGAAATGGGTGTAGGCGAAATGGGTGTAGGCGAAATGGGAGTAGGCCAACTGGAATGTTACCGAGCTAGTAATGTCAGAGATTGTCACATACTGTCATAGGCTCAGAGTCATAGTCATACTCATACTTGTGTAACACTAACACCGCCGGTAACACACACACACACACACTGACACAGTGGCCTTATCGCACTGTCAGTGTCACTGTGTCAGTCACTGACGCGCACACGGTAACGGTGGGTAAATCCTAATCTGCACGAATCTCGTGTTGTGTTAGATATCAATAAGTACCTCTACCTGGATTACATAAATAGTATATAGTAATACTATATGATAATATATCTGCCTAGCTATAGTATAGTGAGTGTTTACGAAGTTTTCAGAGTCGAGATTCGAGTTACCGAACACTGCGTATTACATCACGATGCTTCGTGATAAATTACTGTCTTGTAGTTATACCTTACCTTTTTTAAATTTGCTATCAACGATGGCAAACGGTTTCTCGAAGCACGTACGGCACCCGTTAATAACATTGCTGAACTAAATATCGAGGATTAACTTTGCGACCTAAAATGCATGTGTAGTGGCGACATTAACGACACCCAGCGGCAGATACTGAATTTAACTTAGCCTTCGCAAAAAACTCGTAGTAATACTAGTATAATTATTATTTATCGGCTCTTTGATTATCGGTATAAAGAAAATTTATCGTTAAGTTAAAACCAATTAATGTTACGACCATAGCTAAGACATGTGTCTATATGTATCTAGATTTCTAGAAACGTAACTCAAACCGTTCGCGCCATAATATAATATTTAGTTAGTACACTTTTCTACTTTTCGCCGTATGATCGATACCGCGCGCATATATTTGGTAATTAATTAAAGTAATCGTGCTTCAATAAACTCAAAATTCACAGAGACTATAGCTAAGACATGTGTCTATATTTATCTAGATTTCTAGAAACGTAACTCAAATCGTTCGCGCTATAATAATATGAATCATGATAGTTGGTTAGTACACTTTTGTCACATTTGACGTGACGTCACTTGTACGGCGGTTCCGCAATTTCCGCCAGTAGATGTCGCTGTCGCAAGTCAGACGCGCAAGCAGACGATTTTGTTAAAGGCCAAGAGACATCACTATGGCTAAGGGATGTGAGAAGGTTGATTTACTGGCAATCACGCTGTAGATTGAGACATGCTATGCTCTGCACTACCTATGTATATATGTATATCATATATATTCATAGGCATGAGAGAGAGGACTGTGTTAGAGATTATATTAATATTAATATGCTCCATTGGATCTGAAGTTGCAAAAGACTAACTTGTGATTGTTAATCAGGAAAGCCTGAGAAAAACAATGGAGGAACCTTACCATATACGGGCATTACGTTAAAACTAGGAACATCATCTAGAGCCAAAGCCATGTTCTCTGATATGATGTCAACACTAGAACAAAAAACAAAAAAACAGATATTATATAAAGCTCAAAGCAAGTTGTTCACTTTTCATGTTTCACTAAACCAAGCTATGAATTTTGTTCTCTGTGCTGAGATTAAGTTTAATTAATTCCATTCAGTTATTTTACACATTTTTATCAATCAGCAGACAGTTGGAAAAATGAATACTTGTAATTATAGCTTAATTAGATATCCATTATTGACATTAATGAAATGCACTCACTCATCAATAAATAGAACTGACAAGCCCCAGTTTCTTTCTTCTGCCATGTCTTCTAAAAACTGCAGCAATAATAAAAGCATAATAAGTTAACATTCAAACTATCCATTATTGCACACAAATTAACAGTTACAATCAAGTTGTTATTCTTTTTCTAGAGATTTTTAATATACAGATGAGATGGAACGAAACTGGCCACGACACATATACGTAATAGAGGGTCATCTTCATATATGTAAGAAGGGAAAGTGCAAGTTTGGCAAGAATAATATAGTTTGTTTTTGATAAATTCTGTATAAGTAAGTACACAATCATACCAACAATCATACCGGTACCACAAATAGATACACATGCATCATCAAAATAAACTACTCAATACACTTAAATGGCTGTGGCAATCATAACTGGCGCAAGTCGTATACAAATCTGCGTACGCACGGACACTCGAGCCATTCTAATATGTTCACGTGACCATATATAGGTAAGATAAAAACTGAAGATAATATAATGACTCACCTGTGAATCATCTGTTGGGATATCCAAAGTGTCTACAATGTGTAAATAGTTCTGAAAGGTAACAGCAAACATTCATGAGTGAAGTTATTCTTAATACTGACCAATTGTGTAATTGGTGTACACAGTCAAATGTACAACAGTAGGACAAAGCTATATTATGTACGACTGCAACCATCATTAGCACTCAAACAATATTCTCTCTTTAGCATGATAGATGGAATGATCTTCACGTACCTGCATAAGCTTCACCGATAAAGCAGTTGTGAGGCCCACAATACGTTCAGACTTTGGCAGCATGTAAAAGTAAGACTTTGGTCCTCTAGGGCCTATGATACCACCTGGTGACAACAATATTTCATTACCGTCCCGTGTGGCTATGACACCATAAATATCACCAGTGAATATAATGAATGTCTAACAATAAATCCGTGACCCAATGTTATTTCCTTCATTAATTTATACCCTGTAACTATATGATTTTGTTTTGTTTTTTTGGTTACTTTATTTTATACTGGACTCAAGGGTTTACATCCACATCAGTAGAGCCCACTCCAGGAATCTGGCTCGGTCCAGTTTTGGCAGCTCTTCCATTTCACAATTTATTGAAGCAGATTTTTTTCGACTGTATGCCCTTACTAACATAAACCTGTGACGGGAAGTCACATTATGATACATTAAATATAATATCAACTATTATCATTAGTGTCTGATAACAAATTATTTTACCCGATGACAAGAATGTCATTTCATTTATCGTACCATGTAGCTACAAGATAAAATAAATGTTATTAGCTAATATAATGAGCATCTGCTGACAAAGCTTTTACCTGACGACAATAACATCAATCCCTCAGCATACTGTGTAGCTAGCATGATACATTAAAGTTGATCCACCTAGCAGCTAAATGCATATATATACCTACTGTGAGCTCGTTTATGTTGCAAAAATTCACTAGAATTCATTTGTATTGCTATTTTCATAACATTTCTTCTCAACATCTAAACGAAATTACTTCTCTTATGAACGTAGCACCACAGCACTTGATGTTTACACATCCGGGACACAGCCGAGCTTGATTCAGTAACAGTTCCTTTCTATGATAAAATAAGTTATAATTCATTATTCGATGTTTATTCATTAAAAATTGTGAAATTTGTTTAAATCATATATCGTTATCTATATTACTTATGCAACCAAGAAACAAATATAGTGTTTTCGTTCTAGGAACTATTTGCGCTATGGTGTATGGATTACTATTTTGCGTTATCTGGCACTTCCTATAAATAACCTGCGTCTGACGTAAGTTTTCAAAATAGTAAACTTCGGAGCACATTTCTGGCTCAATGAGAACATTTCGTGCATTTTGCATTTTAATTGCACACTCAGATACGCTCACAGTAGGCTCATATTAATAGGCCTGTTCTGCGAGGTCTATCCGCTTATAAATTAACTTTATCCAACTAATATACAGAATAGCGAAGCGCACGTAGACAACCATGCAATACTCCTCTCCACAATCGGTGACGGATGCTACCCTCGCTCATACCCGTTCCTTCTTCTGCGCCACGGTTTTCCTGCGTCCGCCTTCACCTGCCACACCGCGTCCTTCGTCTGGCTGCACTCTGTTCAACGGAGAATAAACTCCAATGTAAACTACACCTATCGGGCGTAAATGTCCAAAATTAGAAATACTGAAGCCTGATTCTGGCAAATGACTTCGATAATTTGGATGGCTTCAAATAAAAGTGACATTCCCAACTAATAATTTATATCAAAGATCCTATTTTTGGTTGGTCAAAATTGACCATGTACAAATAGCACTTAATAATAACATCATTGGTTGATACAAGTGCAAAAAAGTGCATTTTTACCGAGTATAATGATGTATACCACAAAAAAAACCACCGAACTATTCTACATGCGTGCAATGTTCAAAATTATTTACCATAATTTATTTTAATAAGAATTTCCATTGATACCGTTAGCCTATATATAACTAAAGTGATAACAAAGAGAAGAGAAATAGTTTGGAACTAAAAACCAACATATGTCCGCAAATTATAGTCACAGAATTAACGCTAATTATTTTCAAAACTTAATTTAATTTAAATGATAGAGACTGGTTTTCAACAGGAAGACGCTATACCTAGAAGTAAAAGACAGAAAGTAAAAAAACAATAAAACACACAAGAGTAAAAATAATAATTATACTAAAGTCGAAAATAAGAAATAAATGCAAATTACTTCTACTTAGCAATATCTCATTATATTATTGCTGCATCGAATATTGTCTGTGTAAAACAATCCACTCTAAAAACAAACAACTTCGATTTTGGGCAAATGGTTATAGACAATTTACTAAATCAGCTCTCTACATGGTCATTATAAAAAAATCACAATATTGACAATATTTGTTAATTTTTACATACATTTATTTAACCAATATTGCTGAAAACAGTCCAAATAAAACTAGTAAATGAACAGATCATTCCCATGGCCTGACCATCGATATTCTAGGCACGTAATATGTAATCACATTCTATTCTAAATCTCCCTTAATAATACCATGAATCTTGTTCAAGAGCCTCCGATACCGCAGGGGGCCGTTTCACAAGCACATGCGTAAAGTTAGTTTGATGGTTACAAGAGGGTTTTAGGATATGCTCATTATATATAGGAAGTGTTTTACACGAAGAGCCTTAATTTAATATATTCTCAGGGTACTTGGCATTAAAAAATCTTTAACCAAATATTTTTAGTTTCAGACGCTGTTTTGTGCTACATTATTCATAAACTAAATGACGCGAGAGCTTTAGTCGTAGCAACTCATACTGACTGGATCACCATAGATTGGTAACGTGTCTCTATATATAAGATAATCTAGTAGCAAGTTAGAGATAGGTACCAGTCTATGCCGCAGCAACATTCGTTACAGCTAATTTAAGAGCACATCTAACAACGCAATCACAGCAATTTCGTGAACACTTTAACGAGGGAACGTTTAGCGACAGCGTCTAGGTGCTCCTCGTACAAGATCTAAAATATCCTAATGATGTGTTTTTACGATAGCTTCGTAAAACGGAGCCCCAGTACAATTTAAAAAAATTGCTCCATTTATGAGCATCAGCGCTCCAACAACGTGTCTTGATATCAGCAAACGAGCTCTGTACAGCAAATTATAAAACTAACTTACATTTTCATGAAGTGTTACTTACCGCCGTACGTAGATCAAACCTAAAAACCTCACGAGATCACGCCAGCGCCAATTACAGGTGAACATTCGACTAAAATCCGAAACGGCCGGAAGCCAGCAAAAGCATCCACCCGACGCCTTTTTTTTAATAATGCACCATTTATTTCCAGAAATACATATATTACAGAAATACATATATGTACAGAAAACATACATTACGTTTTACAAAATATCTGCAATCCTCGTGATTGTAGCATAAATCACTCGCTGAACAAATCTAGTTACAGTACACTGGCATAAACATTTGACAGAGAGTACATTACACGAGCAT